CCATAGCAAAAAACACTGATGCAGTGTTTGGAGGTTAATGTTTCTGACCTATGTGTGATTTACATTTTGACAATGTTTTTATTGTATTTTATTTTAATTATGTCCTCTGACTTATTGCTTCCATGCAGTCCAAGTTTGAGGTTCATCTCGATGATGAGTGGACGAAGGGATGTGTTCGGCTGACCTTAGCGGCATGCTACGGCGATTATCACCACAACTGGAAGAAGGCGTACATGCAATGTGAGGACAAGGCTGAAGGTATGAAAACGGAGCCTGAGTACGTCAAAGACAGTGACTGGGAGTTTCTTACAAATACATGGAACAATGACATGAAAGTATAAGGCATAATGAATTCTTCCACATCATGTCTGTCTCATTACATCATTTACTGAATTACCAACCACTGTTTTTATGTAATTGCTTATACCTTTTAATTTGCATATTCATGTGATATCAGTTATGAACTTTACTTCCATGTTTTATGGCAAGTAGGACAAAAGATGCTTCCTCTAGCAATATTAGAATGTTTATAAGTAAATAAAATTTAATGTAACTGTGATGATTAATAAGTTCTTATTGTTAATTTTCAAAGGTAAATATAAGAATATCAAATCCTTTGTATCTGCATACTGCATGCAGTCCTTGGCTTTCTATATAATCTTTTATAATAAAATTATTGAAAGGAGCTAAATAATAAAAAAAAATTCGCCGACATTCTTTAACCTTTTTTTTCAGAATATGATGTGGGAATCTGTTATTGTACTGCGTAAATGATATACATCTTGTTTCACTAATTTTTTGGTTGTGATTGAATCTCTTGATATGGCAAATTAAGTCAGCTGAAGTGCTAAATTCAATAGGTTTAGTTTTATTATAAAACGTAAGGCAAAGTTGCAATCCTTAACCATAGATGTTAATAAACTCGTAGCACGTAAGAAAATTCAATAGGTTTGAATGTCTATTTATGATTCATAATGCTCTATATATGCTTCTTGTTGTATATGGTTTATTATATAAGAAAATTATGGAAATCTCATTTTTGGGAAAAAAGCATGTTCTTCCAAATACAGTTTCTGGAAATAATGAGGGGAAACACATTTCAGAGTATTCCAAATTCATGTTTTCTCTTTCGAGACGTGGGCTGTGCATGAACACGAGTGTACAGTCAAATTTCAATGGTTTTGGACACGGTGTTTCAGAGTAGTAAATTTTTATTTAATTAGTTGTCATTTTTCTTGGTTGATAGGGAAAAATACAGCAACAACATTACAATTATGATAATTTCATATGTCCATGGTTAAACGCATCCATGTGGAAACGAATGCATTGGAAAGAAGGGGTTCTGACTGGTGTAACAACGATGCTGAAGAAACGGAATCGAGATCGAATTAATTTAGCTGCAATTCTCATTATTATTTATCTCTTCTTGACCTATTTGCTTCATAAATGGTTTTTCTAACCCAAACTCCAGAACTCTGAACGTGCTTTCAGGTTGAAGAATGACTATCTAACAGGGCTTGGCATTCGATTGAAGTCCCATTGTCGAGAATTTGGTTGCTAGTTTTCAGAATACACCAGAAGGAAGCAGTTTCAATTTCGACAGCCTTATTCCCTCCAACTCAACCGCCCACTGACCTCTGATCTGGTAACTTTATTTGATCTGTTCACACTCTTAATTGTTAACCTAGTTTTGCTCTGTATCAGTTAGTTGATATTATGAGTTTTTCCAGAATATGTTTGTTGTCTGTTAAAGTACCAAGAATGGGGAGATTCTTTTTAGAGAGTGTTTTTACGAAAATCCGTAAGAACCAGAGATACTCAGTCAACCAAGACAGGTCTGGGTAGGATGTCCGCGTGATTAAGATTAATCAGCTAAAAATAGGGCTTGTACTAAATAACGAAAGACAAAAATGGTTTTTAAAATGGTTCGGCGGGTTAAAACCAAGCCTTATTTTATTGCCTATGCCCGAAGTACATACGGGGTGATTACAAGATGAGAACTGTAGTAGCGAGTTAACAATGCTCCACTAAGTATATTCTTTGCTTACAAGTGTTTTTCTAGAGTTTGACAAGGTTGTCTATCTGGATCCCAACAATGGAGGTGATGTCTCCCTTTTATACATGTTTATGACAGTGGTTGAGAGTTGATAGATTATGGGTGGATTACACGCATAATCCCTTGGAATTCTGATATGAGTTAGTGTTTAGTGTTTACCTATACTTAAGTCAAAGTAATCATGCTTATGACTAATAGACTAATTGACCAAGTCATCTGTTGCGGAAGCGACATGTGGGGCGACCCTGTTCGCCCGATCTCAACATAGTTTGCGGACAGTTGGCGCGAATCAAACCGTAGGAAAATCATGCACAACATATAGAATGTGGATATATCTCTTTTTGCATATATGCTAAAGGTCTACAGAAGACCAGGCTTTTGTTATTCTGCCATTGTAGGTTGTAAGCTACTGCTATATATATATAATGGTAGATTTTTTTTTTTTTTTTTTGGGAATCTATAAATTGAAGATGTCTGATGGTTATGTCTTGTTGAATAGGATGTTATGATATATATATACTGTTATGATATGAGTAATGCTATGTTTACTTAAAATCTTACTAACCATCTTATTATCATTTGTTAAAATTACATATGATACTCGTATTATACGTATGGTATCCGTACTATGCTTTATATTTATGATTTAATTCATATGAATGGATGGAATTTTAATCTCCAGATTATTTGTTAAAATTTCGGGATCTGGAGTTTCCCATGGATGCAGTTAATTGAAATTTGTCAATTACTCAATCACATCACTATATTTTTTATTTTATTTGACCCGTTTTAAACTTTTAATTACTTGATTTCGTTATTTTGTAATTAAGTTACTATTGAATTATATGTATTAATTATACTTGGAGCAATTTTAAAATAACTGTTTATCTTTTATTTTTTATATTTTTTGCATTATATACTTATTTTAGAGTGATGTTATTTAAGGCCCAAAATCAATTAGAAAAATAAATAATTTTTAATTTATCCTAAAATTACCCTTTTAATCTTTTTTAACTTCTCTAATTTCCTAATCTTTTTTAACCTCTTTTCTTTCTTAAAAACTCATGATTAGAAACAGTTATGGAAAAGCCATAAAAACAAATTGGAAATAATATTTCTTTTCATGATTTTATATAAGAAATGCTTATTTCAAATCGAAATTAGGACTCCCACAAAACAATTATAGATCCATTCTAACTTTACTTTAAATCAATAACCACAATATACTCTAATTAAATGGTCAAGTTAAACGAAAATTAGGATATCATTAAAATTCTTTTGAGTTAAAAACTATTAAATGCTATAAGCTCCTACGCACATATTTGCAGCGACTTAGACCCATCAATTAAAGGGAGACGAAATTTTCCCACCCAAGATTTGGCGAAACAACACTTTTCCACACACTGCTCAGATCCGTTGGTAAAATTTATTAACTGACATGATATAATCATTGTTAAGACGAAAATACCCTTTATTATTTGAATCCAAATCCATACCCAACGATTCGATCAGCGATTGCAGTGGAACTGCAGTTGGCCGAGTGCGAATCAATCAGAATCGCACCCAACCTTCTTACAAAAATCAACACACAAAACATCATCACCCTTATCCAAATCAACACACAACAACATCATCCAATTAAAAAAAAAAAAAAATTACAAACTGAAAAAAAAAAAATTTAGTTGGTCAAAATCGCATCGCGGGGTGCGAATCAGTCGAAATTGCACCTAGCCTTCTCACCACAATCTTCTCACACAAATCAATAAACAAAATCTTCTCACATCAATTGGCTGAAGTCACACTCGACCAGGTGCAATTCAGGACGAATCGCACTTGGCCGAGTGCAATTCCAACTGAATTGCATTCGATTGATTTGACGCGGATTTGGTACGATTCCATTTTCACCATCCCTTCTCCAATCCCATCAATTTCCCCAACAAAGCATATTGATTTGGAAAAGCCATCCATAATATGCTCTTGACAAGTAATATATCAAGTCTTGCACACTTAAAAGGTTAGAGATGCACAAGAAGAAGAATAAAAGATAACTAAGACAACTATAATATTTTCAGAAGTTTACCCTCGCAAACGAGAACAAACCATATTAAGGATGAGTAGTAGTTTCTTCAACTTTTAAAATTTTGAACTCATTTAATTTAAAAATTATTTAGCTGGTTACTTTTATTTTATACTTTAATAATATAAAATATATTATACAGATAATCAATTGTTTTTTTTTATCAAAATCTCTTCAAAATTTACCATTTTCCCTAGGAAAACAAATCTTTGAGCCTGAATATGATTAACAAAAGTCTGAGGACAAAAGTAATTTATTAAAATAACAGAACTAGATGTCGCTCCTCGACAGCCATCATATCCCCTATTAAGATTAAGATAACAGCAGAATCTTCTGGGACACAAAACTTCCCCAATAGAAACCACACCTTATGATTCTTCAGCTTCATCAGCTTCAGACCCATATCCATTGACTTCTCTTGGAGTATTTTTATCTCCAGCAGTGCTAGTCTTACAAAGAAGCCTACTAAGGAGGCATACAAAGACAACTTCTACCCTTCATCTTCACCATTTCTCTCTCTCTCTCTTTCTCTTTTTCAGTTTTTTCTTTGTTTTTTTCTTAACTTTGTAAGCTTCTTTGTAAGGATAGACTTATTCTTTTTATCTCTGAACTTATAGAACCAATCCTAGACTGGAACAAAATTTCTAAAAACGTTAGTACTCATGAAGTCCTGATCATACAAGATCCAATTAAAACAAAGAACAACTCAAGAAACACAGTTAAAAGAGGTGTCTCTCCCTTTGAAATAATAATAATCATAATAACTATTGGATATGGTTCATACTTTGCATGGGCTTGAAGTACCCCACACAAACGCAATCCGGGGTCCCACTCCTCAATGAGTGGGCGGCGGTCCTGATCGGTGGTGAGCGGACGGGGGTGAGGGGGCAACAATCTGATGAAAAATGTTTTAAATGGACATTTGCGTTGGTGTTAAATAGCATAAACTGATTCTGATTATAGGTGAGCCGCAAATCTTTTGTATTATCAACTTTTACAAAGTCATATAGAGCATCAATGTAATTTTACCCATTTTATAACTGGGATGGGAAAAGAAAACATTCAAGATGATCCAGAGTACCCAACAAATATTCTCTTAAATGGCTTAGTTGAAAAATGAATTAAACCATTTCCATTAGATGCAACTTACCTTCTTGGTCCAAAGAGATGCACCGAAGTGAAAAAGCAAGCTGAAAACACCAAACTAAGGCCGTGTGGCTGGATGTCTGCCATCACCAAAATGATAACCATAGATGTTAAGTACAGTACTAAAGTACACAAAAAAATTTATCAAACTTCAGGCATGCCATAAAAACTCAAAGAAAAATGATGAGACCATGCAAAATTTGTTCCACTTTTTCAAAATATCTGAAAAAGGAACACAGAGGAGATAATAGTAAAAACAATGGAAAATAAAATAAACATGAATCACCTTAAATTGCATAAACAATAAAGCAACGTTACAAGTGTGAGCCATAGCCTCAAAATTTGCAGGGTTATTTTCTGCAGATGTTGCTTGAACCCAGAGTGATGAAAGCAAAACACTCACTTGATGGCTACTCAGTTGGAAGGAAGTTATCTGTGGGAAATAATTTAGACAGGTAGATGATTAAATAGAATTTCTAAAACACTCTCTTTAAATTAAAATTATTGGATTTGGGGGTTTCATACTGTTTTTCCATCAGTCAGAGCACGCTTAAAGCTATATGACCGACTATGAGAGTGTTTCACATTCACATCTAGTACCCGACTTTCCTCCTGCAGTCCTCCATCCATGAGTTTTTCTTTTTCTTTACCTTCATCCTGAAAGGAGAAACTTCCAATTCTTACTTTCTGTGAAGTAGAGACTGGCAAGATGCTAGAAACAGCTTGTTAAGTATCCTTGCCCTGATCTGACCAAGGGGAGACCAGAGATGGCATTAGCACAATAGAAAATACACTATGCACCCCAACTCGGGTTTTATGATCCGGATGAACCATTGCTAGGAGTAACTGATGAAACAGAGCATTAGGAAAAGCCTGAAACAGAAATCCTCAAAAACAGAGATCCTCAAAAATTATATGTTTCTTAAAACTGAACAGAATATTGCAATTTCAACAAGTACACTTGCCTTCTTGTAATATGATATGTTTGGGATGGAAGAGACAATCTGAGCAGTCCTATGAGCAGCCGAGATTGTTGTTCTAGCAATAAGAGTATTATTTGGAATATTCTCTAGCAAACCAGACATCATATCAAGATTGGGTCTTGCATCGCCAACCTGTTAAGTACAAACGGTTGTGTAACAGTTGCATATATGGCATGCTTGCATAAATATTTTTGACTCACACTTCAAAAAATAAAGAACATAAACAATCACAAACCTTCTTTGAGAGCTGTGAAATGCAATTTTCTAAGGCATATTGAAGATCGGTATTCCATTTAGCCATATCATCCACAGCATTAGATAATTCAGCTGCATTTTGCAGGCATTTTTGTAACTGTTTAATCAAGTCGGTTATTGCACCAATGATAGCAACAGAGGCCTGCAGCTTTGCATTTTGTGTGAGTTGTGTGGCAACGTCAACATTATGAATCTGTACACGAGATTGCTTGGCAACATTCTTATGAACCAAGTGCTTGATCAAGATAGATAGCAACAGGTGGGAGTTTCCTCCTGGAGATTAAACCAAAAAAAAAAAGTTCATATCAATTATATCCACAGAAAAACTAATAAAAAAATAATTGCAGCAAGATGGAGCATTAAGGTTCTTGCTGGAGCATTAAGATTCCATATGTAACCTGATTCCTCCAAAAGCGACTGCAGGTACAATATAACAGAACAGGCAACTCCTGTATCTGATGACCAATGATTTTCTACATCAAAATGATGAAAAAGGGGTTCAACCACACGCCTCACTGTTGTAGTTTCCTTAGCCAACCTGGCTACATTATTCAAGCAAACTTTGGACCAGTAAGAGGGGCTCTTAAAAGTGTCACTGTAAAATTGGCATATAAAGCTAAGTATGTTAACTACATTTGAGAAATCTCCTTATATAAAGAATATATACCCAAGAAGTGAAAAATGATGCCTTACGTTGTTGAATACAAATCAGGATTAGTCACAGGGTTCTGGAGAGAAGAAACCCTCTTACTCATATCTGGAAAAGATGAGCCAGGAGATTCTTCTTTAAGCACCCCTTGAACCCACTGGTCCTGAGATTGATAATGTTACCTCGCTTCCTTACCATCCTCTGGTTTCATTTGAAGATCGAGGTAGTTCTCCAAAGTCACTGAAATAATCTATTTCAGAATGGAAAATTACTTCAAATTAATACGAAAAGCAAACACCGTGCACACTTACTAGTGTACCTCATAGTCCAACTTAAAATATAATAAGCAAAAAAAATGTTTCCCAAAATTCACGTATAAACTAGATGACATTAATTATATATATCATGTAAGTAAAAAACACTAATAAGAACCAACAAGAGGAAAAGCAAACTCACATTGTCAATGTCCATTGAGATCTGTGATTGCTCACCCATGAACCACACCTAAGCATAGGACGCAGGAAAAGATTATTAAAAGAGGCACAACATTAACAAATGAAATCTCTACATTTGAACCAAAAAATAATTAAGTTTGTCAATAGAATATGTTGGAGTTATAAGAAAAGAATTTAATAATTATCTATTCATGTATTAAAGGCCAAATGATAAAATCAATTCAACATCTTCTAAGTCTGATAAAGAGGCCTGTTGACAAGTAGAAGAAGTGACAGACAATGTGGTCCAGAAAGGTAATGCAGAGAACCAGCTTGCTACTAGAAGCAGATTTCATGTTCAATCACAGTCCTCCGCAAGCAGGAAAAAGTGATGCCACACCCACATTCTTAAACAAGGAATGCAAGTCCAAAACCAAAAATTAGTTTTATTCAACAAAAGGTTACCTTGTCTTGTTTTAGTTAGATTTTGATTAAAATTAATTAGGTCTTTGTTATCTCCCATGTAAGAAGGACTAGAAGTGTAGGACTTGGACTACTATGTACCTAACCTTAATAAATCTATACTTTAGCAATCATGTTAAGTCCTCTCATCAAATGCGTTAGAGAAGTTTAGAAGTAAGAAAAGTAAAAGATTACAAAAAAAGTGTACACAACTATAAAATGGTTACGTCATTTCGGAGCAGATAAAAGTACCAAAAACCAATTAAATTACAACAGTCTGCATAAATAAATTTTAAGCATCATAAGAAAGAAGAATTTATAAAAAGAAACTTAAAAGAATTGGTCATAGAGATTAATGTGCATTAAGTCTGATTGTATGTATAGCTAAATGTGCATTTACAAAGCTAGGTAAATAAACTGTACCATGTTAGAGAGAGCTTGCATCCCAGCAGGACCAAACACAGTTGAAACAAGATATTGAAAAATGATCAAACACAGGACCAAAAAGATATATGTGCCATATAGATAGCTCACTTGTATTTAAGAAGAACATTCTGCTGAAGGATCTGAATGTTTGTGTTTTGGGTTTTCTCAATGCATAAAACTTATGGACAATGAAGTTAGAAACCTGCAAAACGATGAAGATAGTCACAATGAATTCTTGTGCCCTTGTTAGCAGACAAAGGTGCAGTGAAGAAAAGTTCACTGCATGGTCATTTGACATCATTTACTTCCCTATTCAAAACCATCATCATTGTTTTCATAAGAGAAGTCATAATTCTAAACCAAGCTCGGGTGAACACCTGGGAACACCATTTAACTACCTTTGAAACTGCTTTCTGCCTCAGTTTTTCAAGCTCTGGCTGAACATCTTTAAGGGCTTTTGAAGTTTTAACCATAAGAACCACTTCAACAAATTTCAGCTTCTTACTTAAGATCTCAAGAGTTCTCATATACTCCTCATTGACCTAAATGAAAATTCCACTGAAAATATGTTAGTATGATGAAGGAAAGGAAAACCAGTAGCTTCCACATTAAATAGGATAACAAAGCAACATTTATGGTGAACAAGGAAATACTTGAGGACATATATGTGTGTGTATCCATGTATAAGGTGAAATTATGGAACTTGACTAATCATGAGTTACGATTTAAGAAATGAACTAAAAGGAACAAGTGAAGTTCAGATCTTTCAATAAATATGATTTAAGCTCTAGGGGCTAGTGCACTTCAAAGAAGAAAGAAGACTAAACAGACCAAAGGAGTATATAAAATATTTTATATCTATAAAAAGAAGAGATGATTATAGAGTTCAAAGGAAGGAGTGTTCAAAATAGAGATGAGCTAAAAAAATCTTTTACAATCTTCAATTGGTTATATTTCAATTTCAGGTCTGCATCCCATCTAAAATCGATAAGCCCTGTACATAGACTTCATGAAAACCCTAAGAACAAGTATTAGCATTGTAAAGCTTTTCCTAACGAATATGGTAACCAGTAAAATTTGTTTTTTTGGTTAAGATACAGTATAATATTTTTTGCTATACAGTAAGGTAATCCATTGATCCATCGCAAGACGTACAAAACAACAGTGGTAAAAAAGTGCCTCCACTCTATAATCTCAATACCCAATTCAGCATCCAACACTACTGGACAAAAGCCCACCACTTTCCAAAGATGAAAAATAAAGAACCCTGAAATATTTTAGTTAAAAAAACCTATAAGATATCAAAAGACAAGCTCTGCCCACAAGAAGGAAATATCTCCTATGATTGCATCCTCCAGAATCCTTTTCCATCCATATTACCCAAAGAGTTGCAAGCACTGACATCGCTATAGAAACTTTAGATTTTCTGCCCCACCAAAGCACAGAAACACTCTCAAATCAGGAATATGCAAGATCGATAACGACCCTCACCAACCTAGCTGCTCTATAGAGATGACATCACAATTTCAGTGAGAAGACACATAATATTATTGATACGCTCCATCACCTTTACACACAAACACACCAATGATGACATAAGTAAAACACGATACATTTCTTTTGTAACTACTATAACTCATGCCCTCCCAAGAAAAAGATATATTAAAATCTATATCGATCAAAAACTGAATCATGACAGGGACTTGCACACATAAACTTCGACCACATACAGAGAGCACCACTAACCTAAGAGACCTTTAGGAAGAAAACATATGAGCAGTTGCAAAATGTTCATTTTATATATTACTTGTTTTTCAACTGTACAACCTAACTAAAATATATACACTCAGCAATTACAAATATACCCTTTACACTATATATTCATAGTTTCCAACACTCCCCCTCAAGCTAGAGCATATATATATACAATAATGCTAGATGTACAAAGAAATCTTACAAAGATTTATGTACAAAGTGATGTGATAAGAAATGAATGGAAGAATAAATATGATGAGTTTGACTTTTTGTGTTCACTCTTCCATTCATTTCTTGCCATATCACTTTGTACATAAATCTTTGTAAGATTTATTTGTACATGTAGTATTACTCATATATCTATCATGTCCAACTTGTTATAAATATAGGTTACCCTTTTACCAACTAGAGACTTCGTGAAGATGTCAGCTAGTTATTCCCCTGTTCTAACATGATTAGTAGAAATTAACTTTTGTTCAAGTTTCTCTCGTACAAAGTGACAATCCACTTCTATATGCTTAGTCCTCTCGTGAAAGACTGGATGGTTTGCTATATGTATGACTGCTTGGTTGTCACACTACAAGTCCATAGTCCCTAGGTCACCAAACCCAATTTCTCTAAGAAGATGTCTTGTCCATATGAGTTCACACGTAACTCGTGTCATAGTCCGATACTCAGACTCTGCGCTTGACCTAGCTACAACCGGTTGCTTCTTACTTTTCCAAGAAATAAGATTTCCTCCAACAAAAACACAAAACCCAGTCACAGACTGTCTATCCACATAGGATCCTGCCCAATCTGCATCTAAAGAACCTTCTACCTTATTATGACCATGATCACTGTAAAGAATCCCACGTCCAAAGGCTCCTTTTAGATACTTCAAAATATGGAGGACCGCATCCCAATGAGATGTCCTAGGAGATGACATAAATTAACTCACCACACTTACTGAAAAAGCAATATTTGGACGGATTACTATAAGGTAGTTTAACTTTCCAACTAACCGTCTGTATCTCTCTGGATCACCAAACATCTCACCATCCTCAGCATTCAATCTCACATTAGGAACCATCGGAGTGTCACAAGGCTTAGCCTCACTTGGACCCATTTCGGTCAACACATCTAACACATACTTGCATTGAGAGAGAAAAATCTCTTTCTTACTCCGAGAAACCTCGACTCCCAGAAAATACCTTAAAATGCCCCAGGCTTTTGTGTGAAATTTGGAAGCCAAAAAGTTTTTCAAACTCTGAATGCCAACATCATCACTGCTAGTGATTACAATGTCATCAACATAAACAACCAAAAGAATAATGTCAGAACTAGATTGCTTATAAAAGACAGAATGATCATAAGCACTCCTATGTAAACCAAACTGAGTCACCACTTCACTAAACCTCCCAAACCATGCCCGTGGAGATTGCTTTAAGCCATATAAAGATTTCCTCAGTTTGCATACCTTTCCTGACTCTCCCTAAGCAACAAACCCCGAAGGTTGCTCCATGTAAACCGCTTCAAGAAGATCACCATGTAAAAATGCATTTTTTACATCAAGTTGGTGAAGAGGCCAACAATATGAAGTTGCAAGAGAGATGAATTGTCGGACAGAGGTTATTTTAGCCACTAGGGAGAATGTCTCAGAATAATCAATACCATACATCTAGGCATAACTCTTAGCAACCAACCGAGCCACAGTCCCATCGAGATTAGCCTTCACTGTGAAAACCCATTTGCACCAAATAGCCTTTTTATTTTCAGGCAACTCCATTAGAACCCATGTATCATTATGTTCTAGAGCCAACATCTCTTCTTCCATAGCTCTTCGCCACCCATCATGAGTAATTGCTTCAGACACAGAGTTGGGAACAGACACGGAGTCTAAGGAGGCAATAAAAGACTTGGAAGATGAAGACAAAGAATAATAGGAAACAAATGAGGAGATAGGATAGGTACAAGAGCGCTTACCTTTACAAAGAGCAACGGGAAGATCATGATCATGGTTAGAGGAAGGAGGAATCGGATCCGAGGGCGAGGCAGTCGATGGTGTTTTCCAAACTGACACGCCTCACACTCAAGGTATGACATTGACCTTACACTAGGACACAACCTTTTCAAAATGGGAAGAGGAGGATGACCAAGGCAACCATGTAATATGGGTAGAGATGAAACACTAGTACACGCAACAGGTTAAGAGACAGGGGTGGAGACATCATTGAGCATATACAGGCCCTCTGATACACAACCCATACCAATAATCCGCCTCGTCCCAAGATCCTGAACTATACAATGAGTAGGAAAAAAGTAAATACCACAATTGAATGCGTTAGTAATTTGACTAACTGATAAAAGATTAAAGAGAAAATGAAAAAGGCACAAGACAGAGGAAAGAGACATAGATTTGTTGAGATGGGCAGTACCACATCCACTAATAGGTGCAGTAGACCCGTTAGCTAAGGTAACCGAAGACAGATTGGGAGAAGGTGTAAATGAGGAAAAAATACCTATATCGCCTGTCATATGGTGGGTAGCACCAGAATCAATGACCAAATTACTACTAGAAGTGGACAAACAGGCTGTAGGATTACCTAACTAGGTTAATGTAGTGATAGTCGATGGGATAGATGACTGGGAGCACGAATTCTGAGTGAGGCGAGCATATTATGCTGCAAAGATAGTAACCTGTGATGGGGTGGGTAAGAGACCATCTTGAGTTGCAACATGAGCAAACTTCTGAGTGTCTTGCATATTCAGGGGCTTGCCATGGAGCTTTCAACAATTATTTTTTACGTGACCCTCAACACCACAGTGAAAGCAAGTGCGAGGGCCATTACCACGATTGTTCCTAGTATCACGACTTATCCCCTTGTTACCTTTGCCATCACCAGACTTCATGCTAGCTAGGGCTGCATGATCAACATTAAAATCCTTAAGGGTTTCTTTGTCCTTAGACACTCCTCGATCTTCCCCCTTACTAACTCTAAGAAGTCGAGCAAAGACATCCGTAACAGAGGGAAGTGTCACCGGTAAGAAGTTATGTACGAGCAATCTCATATTCTGGTCTCAACCTAGCCAGAAAACATTGCACTACCACTTGTTCTTCTTCATCTTCACATCAATAGGGACAGGAAACATAGCCCTTTTTTCTTCAAAGGCTTGTTTTACCTCGGTATAATATTCGAGCAACGTCTTCTCTTGCATATTTGCTCAATAGATCTTCAATAACAATTCATGGGCATGAGACAGGTCTTGTTCACCAGCATACAAGAACTCTAGATACTCCTATAACTCCTTGACGGTATTACAGTGACCAATCACATCATCCACGGACGAATCGAGAGTGTTCTGAATCTGATTGAAGAGCTTATCATCTTCATTAAGCCATTATTTTCGAGTTTTATTATCACTTTCTGTTTCCTCAGGTGGATCCTCGATTAAATGGTTTCCCATATCAATGCTGGCCACATATCGTCGGATAATCCGCTTCCACTGAATATAATTCTTTTTCCCAATAACTTCCGATCAATAATTTTGATGGAGGAAGTGACAATTTCAGTCACCATCTTCTTACTGTCTTCTGCCATAATGTATAGCAAAAAACTCTCAACTCCACAGATTCACAACAACCTCAACACCAAACAACCCAAGCAAACACAACAATGTCCCAATCTCAAACAACCAGAAGGAGGCTAGCCAAAAGAATTCACAACAACTCCAAGCAAACACAAAAGGATTCACAACAACTCCATGCTCACCGCACCAAACAACAACAGAGAAGAGAGAAACCAGA